AGAAGATCCCTAACTACATCTGCACTGACTGAAGGCCTAACAGAGCAATCCCCAAGATTGTCCCTACCTCTGGTAGGTGGGATATCCCGGTCCCTGTTCAAGAAAACAGACAAAGAAACTGGTAAAAATACCAGCTTTCTTGTCTGGCATAGCCACACGATTACTGTTTGTGTCTTGCAGGGACCCTACATTGCCTGGTGCCCTCTTCCTGCTCCCAATGTACTTGAAAAAGGACTTTTTGTTGTCTTTAATCCTGGATGCTAGCCTGACTACTATCTCTGCCTTGGCCTTCCTAATAGCCTTCCTGCACTCACAGGCCGAGGAGTACTCCTTCTTGGTGATAGTTCCTTCCTTCCACTGGTTGTATGCCCCCCTTTTAGTCCTCAGGCATTGCTGAATGCCCTTGCTGAGCCAAGGGGGTTTCTGAGCACTCAGAATGCAGCCCTACAGACCTCTTATTGATGGTGGCAGAAAGAGTGGACTCTGAGAAGCTAGGCTGAAGTTGTAGGAGTCTGAGTTTGAATTATTTGTTTAACTTATAAACCTCCCATTTTTGAAAAAAGGAGATTTTAACAGATCGAAAACCTAAAACTTTACAAAGTCATTTATTGTTGAAATCTCTTGAGAGGGAAGGAGTACCTGTAAATATTGGTAAGAGTCTTGTTTTGGGACAGTTGGGTTCATTTCACCTTCCAACCCTGGTTCTAGTAGAGTGGAACATCACTGATGTTCATGAGCTAAAGTCAATGGCAAAGCTCCCATGAACTTTCAGTGGACCAGGAGCCTGTCATGTCTTTAGCAACTTAAGTGGAAAATATTGTAGCAACATGCTAGAAATGCTAGTTATAGCTGAGGAAGCAACACAGTTTTCAGGTTCTTCTAACTCACTGAAAAAAAACACCTTTCATTGTTGACATTTCTCTGTTAAATCGAAAGATAATTTTGGGGACAGGGTGATCGAGAGGAGATGAGAGAAGAGGAAAGGAAGAATTGGAATAAATTTCATCAAATTAAATAGCTTGAATGTTGAAACTGTGCCTTTCTAATGATTTTCTATACTTCATAAAATGAAACATTTCAAACTAGCCAAGCTTATTGTACCCCATACCCAGATGTGCCTAAGCTCGGCCAAGTCCAGGTTTGGAGCAGGCAATCCCAGGTGAAGTGGAGATAGAAGGTCCTAACTACAGGCTTTGTCCTGGCTTCTGCTTTTGGTGTTTTTTTTACATGATCATTTCTCTGCTCTGCTGCCACTCCCTACCATCATTACTGATCTGCTCATCACTGCTCTGATTTGCTGTCTTTTAGCAGTCTCTGCAGTGTTTGACCACTGACCGAAGGAATCAGTGGCATACAGGGCCTCAACTGACTCCTTCCCACAACAGGAGGCGCTCCTGGACACAGTATCTTTTTCCTCTTCCTTCCCCATGCCTCACCCAGGGCTCTTTTGCAACTTCAAGACCCCTCACTCCAGCACACTAGACATAGTCCTCTGACCCATTCATCCTTAAGTTTTATTGACCTTGACTTCCAAACTGAATGTTATGTTACACAAACTTGCCAAACCGTCACATGACACAAATGAAAATGAGGTTTGCCCCCTCCAGTCGGTTACTGTGGGTCACCGACAGTCTGACACAAGGCCCCCCTGCCCGGTGCAGTCCTTGGAGAGCCTGGAGCCATTCTTCCCCTGCTCGCCAACCAGGGGCCAATAATGAATCCCCCTGTCTTAGGGCATCACACCTCAAGCCTTACAGTTGTAAGATGAACTATAAGATTCACCCAGTTCTGTGAAGTTCTGTGGTAATGATCCCAACGTGAGTCCCGGCTGTGAAGACTTATGTCCCAGCAGTAGCCGAATCCAGGCCTAAGCCAACCTAGCCATGATCGTGGCCTATCCTGAATGTAAACTTTTCTGCATGCAATTCTGGCAGGACATTTAATGCCACACATGGTCCTAGTTGTCATTTGCTTCAGCAGAGCACCAAGAGGTGCTGTGGGAGGGGTTGTTAGTTAACCAGTCTTTTTCCTGTTCCCCAAGCTTCGTTCCCACAAAGGCAAGACACTAGAGCCCACATCCACAAAGTACCACATTTCTGCTGTTGGTCCTGGTTGCCAGGGTGAGCATTACTGAGTGACTATGAGGTCCAAGAAAATGAATTGCCATTAGTTAGGGATGCTTTAGACTATAACAAATGCTTAATGAACACACGTCTGGCAGAGGCAAACAGGGGACATGCTGCCGGTCTGCGTTACCAGATTACACCGTTCAGATTTCTGAGCTGCTGACAATGAGGAAGGTATTAGTGACACGTCCCACGTTTCATCTTCCGATCCGGGCAGTGAAGCCAGCTCCATCTCTGAGCGCCAGCACTAGGAAACCATCTGTTGGGCTGGCTCGAGTGTGGCCACTGGAATTTGGAAAATAAAGCATAACAAAATAACCCCTGAGCACCCCCTCCTTCTCCAGGGCTTAAACAAAAGAAAATGATTTGTTTGTTCTCTCGGTGACTTTCAAAAGCTAACCAGCCACTAAACATTAGCTGTCAGCTTTGTGTTCCCCATTCACTTAGTATGGCTGGGTTGTCAGACAGCTTATAGGAAAGCCAGCCTGAGTTTGACATCTGTTTTGAATCCTCCTTGCCTGGTTTTAATTAACCCTTTCAATCTCTTTCTCTCATTCTCCACTGTGCAAATCTGATGTCCAGATCCTAAGCCACCCAGCGCACCTGTTGCTCCTTCTTCTGCCAGCAGCCTCCCATGGCCAGTAATCATTGGGATACCTGCTGGAGCAGTCTTCATCTTCGGGACAATCCTCCTGTGGCTGTGTCAAACCAAGAAGAAGCCATGCTCTCCCCCAGCTGCAGCCCCAGTGCACAGACCCCAGCCCAGAGACAGGATCTGTGTCCCCCAGGTTCCCGATAAAGACTGCATCTCCTCCATAAACTATGAGGAATATGTAGCTCAGCAGCAGCATTTGCTGTCTCAAGGACCTGCACTGGCCCCAGCCATGGCATCAAAAATGTACCCAAAGATTTACACGGACATCCACACTCACACTCACTCACACGTGGAAGGTAAAGTTCATCAGCATCAGCACATTCATTACCAGTGTTAAAGGGCCATCCTGTTCAGTAGCTACCTTGTGCTTTTTTTCTCTCGGTACCTCAAAAGAGACTGCTTCAAGTCAGCTTAAACTGCCAGCAAAAAAAGCAAAGCAGAAAAGATATATATATAAATATAAATATATATAAATATCTATATTAAAAAAAAATAGAGAGCGAAAGAGATACCTATTACAATTAGGATGTAAATGAGGAATAATGAAGGAATTCCCAATCTCAGCACAGAAGCAGCCATGAAAAACAACAAAACCTTCTTGTATTTTTAAGTCAAGATGGCAACAGATAAGGCAGGAAACTGTGACATGAAACTTCCCCTCCTCTGTTGCAATGCCAAAAGGGAGAAGAAGAAAAGGAGACCGCAACACTATTCCAGCTTGACATCAGTCTTCCTGCCTCTGCCACATACCACCTGTTTTTTGGTGCTAGGCTTATCAGACTTTTTACTCATGGGAACGTACAGAAGAGCCTTTTTACCTCAGCGTGACTGAAGCTAGAAAATACCTGAGGTCGAGTGCCAAAGCACCAGGAGACACAATCAAGTGGCTTCTTCTGAAAGAACAAAATAGAGCAAGAGTCTTTGGAGAATACGTTGATATTTAAGATGTGAAACACCAAATGCTTTTCAGCCACAGTCATTTTCCCCAGCAGTCAGTGATAACTGAGCTAGCCATTTCTGCAAATCAAAGGTATTGTGTTTTCCCCTCCGGGGTATTTCTCACAATGTTTTAACCTGCTCACCTCGTCCCAATGCTAAACTTTACTGCCACTGCCAGGAAAACAAAGAAGGAAAGACATTGTACAGAACATCTTTATATTTATATTTAAGAAATAATAATAATAATTAATAATAATAATTGAACTGTTGAAGGTCAAGAAAGCCAACCATGCTGCCCTTCTCTGATGCCGATAGCTGTGATTTTCAGTCTGATGCTTGTGGCTTACAGTGACAAGCTACCGGATTAATTACGTCAATGCAAAATACATGGATAAATAACAAAGAAAAAGAGAGGAAAAAAAGTAAGAAAATAAAAACTGTTTTGGGAAAGAATGCATTTGCTAAATATGCACCTAGGATTGTGTGTGTTTTTCCCCCCAGATAATGTTTTGCAGTTCATCCAAACAACCTAACTTCAGTACCGTTCAAATAACAACAGCAACAAACCAGAAAGGAAAAATAAATCAAAGGACCATACTAAATGTCTATATGGACTAGAAATAAATTCAAGCGCAAATATAAAACTTTTGTAATTCTATATAGAGTTTAAACAGAAGTCATGTATATTTAATTTATTTTGTTAAACAAGAAAAAAATGTATGATATTTTCCTCAAAACAGGCATTTCTATACATATTTTTGATCCAAATAAAGATAATTGGTTTTTTCCAGGTTCTTATAGGTGCCATGCTCCAAATAGAAACAATGTAGCATGCAACAGTACTTTATTTAATCAATTTGAAAGTCATATATTTATATGCATTTTTGCAATAGCCATGTGTAATTTTCTAGCAGCATCTCTGGCATGGTGGGTGCCACTACTTCCATTCAAAACTCTTCTGCCATTTAAACCTAGGCCAGAAAGGCTTGTTGGGAACAGATCATTCTCTCTGCCCACCTTGTCTTCCGTCTCCTAGTAGCAATCACCTGAGCCTGTAAGAACTTTTGTTTCACTTTTATCATTTACTTTAAAAAGTGGCTTGATTCATTTTTTTAACCACAGACCAGTGATAGACTTAATTCTAATTCTAATAGAGTCCATTCTAATCCTAGCTTTGAAAAGTAATGTGAAGCTTCACTAGAGATGTACGTTCATACGCTGAACTTCTGTCTCTGAATGTTTTGGGAGAAAATGTTCCAGCCAAATTCTGTTATTCATAAAAGCAGCTATTAAACATAAAATATTCAGTAGAGATTCAGTTCACTACAGCAAGAATAGTCTACACACAGTTCTGTGCATCACATATTCCATGCTAAGGGTTTATGGCTTGATCCTACAAAGTAGGGCAGAGCTGCGTAATTTTTCCCCCCCCAAAACCTCTTCCCACTGAACAATGTAAATTCAGCAACACAACAACCTTTTGAAAATTTGTCTTGGTTTTGCCAGCTGCTCATATAGAAACCAGCACATTGAAAAAGTTAAAAATATTTCAGTTTCCCCCCACTGTAAATAACTTTCTGCTTCAATTCTTTTTTTTCAATTATATTTAAGAACAATAATATTAAACCCTGCCCCCCTGCCGTGCCCCCCTTAAAATCACAACAAAACATTTCTTTTGACCCAAAGCAAATTTTTCAGAAGTTTTTTAAGGGGGGCGGGGGGTCAAAGCAATTTGTATTTTGATTTCTGTAATTGCCATTATCTGTAAGAGCTGATGGTTTGCCCAGCTTCAGGGCCAAACACTCTGGCTCTGATCAAGCAAGGCACATAAACACCCTCGTAATTTGTGAATGTAGTTCCTAATCCAAAATCTCCACTGAAGCTAATGCAAGTTTTTCTCTTAGGTTTTAGCAGCCTTTCTGTCAGACCTATGAGTGGTCCCATTCAAATCAATGGGACTCTCAGTTGCTTAGTTAAGCATGTGCTTAAATGCTTGTTGTATCTACAGATTGCTGATTGCCCTGTGCAAAGTCTTTTGTGGCTCTCTGCACTGTCATGAATGTGAGCCACAAGTACCATAAGGATGACACACTAAGGGAGCTGTATTTTGCATTTCTTCCCTGCACTGCCTTCCTGTTGATTGTAATGGGCATACTGTGGGTGGAGTGCAGATTATAATGTCCCATATTCTGCATTTACTTCAGATATTTTGATGTTAGAGACCTGCATGTCTAGCAAATCAAATACTTGCTCCTCTAGAGGAGAGCCCAGAAAGGTAAAGATAACAGACAGCCATAGAGCTAATGTTCTTAAGAGCTAAATTGAGATCTATGATGCCATTGCATAGGTCCTACTGATGTCTGGCTGTCATGCCCAAGCATTCAGCAGCAGCATTTGGCTATGCTTACTGTTTTATACACGAGTTACCAGATGAGGCAGTCATATTTTGAAAGCCTGTGTGCAGTTTCTGTGTACATAACTTATGTTTTACAAAGCAGGTATTTCCCTGAGAGGCTGGAAGAGCTATAGCTATTATTGTGTCTGCCTCTCATACATGTCTATGGGCATAGACAAAAAGTGACAATTTTCAGCTGATCTGGCCACAGAAAGCAGTCTATAACCATAACCAAGCACAAGTACACGGCTGCAGCAGCTTCAAAACTGGCCAGTTGGGTGTCAATCCAAACCCCCATTGCATGAGCAGTCAGATGAAGACATTTCAAAACAGAGCATCTTCTGTCTGTGATGCCTGCCAGCCTTGAGCTGTTTTTAGAATGGGGGAGGGAAAGGAACAAAGGGAGTTCAGTCTGGAGGTTTTTCAACCCCTTCTGGAGGGTTGGGCAGGTGTATTGGAGGCCCACCAAGGTGGGGGGCTCCAATACTCCCATCTCATCCTCCAGCACTGGCTGGGGAACGCCTAGGACAAGCTCCCTCTTTCCCCCCTCCCATTCTAAAACTTTACAGCCTCACAGAGAGGAGGGGCCATTGCTAAGGGAAACTAGCTGCAGGCTCCCAGTCAGCTGCTACATTCCCTCCCCTCTGGAACCAACAGTGAACTTGTGTTTGCTCCGGGGATCGTTGCAAGTCAAAACACTTCCTGCAAAGCCTTCTCAGTTACAGCGGGGAACTGCACTTTTGTCTGCATCCTATGAGAAACCTGGTATTTTTACCACCATAGCTAGGGATAGGAATTGCATATAAACTGGTATAAGTGATCAAAAAGTGGTTCAAATTTTTAACACAACAAGAAATTCAGGCACATAAACCACTTTCAAAATGGCGAGAACTGGTTTAAGATAAACCTGGGTGGCTGTAGTATGAGACTTAGGTTTAGGTTAAATTGGTTTATTAAACTTCTGTCCCAGATCCCCTCCAGATTTAACTCAACTCACAGTCCCCCAATATCCCAGGATACTTTGCACCTCCCCTGCACACACCCCCGCCCTTCCCAGGGTGGGTGGTCTAGCCTTGGCCCAAACTGTCTGCTCCAGCTGAGCAGGGAGGCATGCTCCCCCCCCCCTCCAGCTTTTGGCCTGGGCCACTGCAGGCATGTAGTGGCATTTCTGGAATCAAAAGTGAATGTCTGTTCACTTGCTTATCAGTTCTATCTACGCAGCTGAGACTAACCTGCAAAGATCGAATTGATGCAGCCTCAGGCTTTTTGACTATCTGTGCATAGCCCATGACATGGACAGACCTACTGTGCATTTAGGCAATGTTAAGGGCATGACACAAGTCATCATTCAGAGATAAGGCTGACTGTCTTTCACAGACACTTTGTGTCTAGGTGCTGTAGGCAGAGGACATGTACTGTACCATACATGTTGTAACAGTGTTCTGCTGTTGCCTTAAAAGGTTCTCTCCTATGTGTGTCTACTTTGAGTGAACTGCTAGAGCCTCCCACATGGCACTTTCCAAGATGGCAGCAGCAACTCTGCCCTGTAGTGATAAATTGCTTTTATCATCTGCATCACAGTGCTCCACCTCTCCTGGAATTTCATGGTGTTATCTCATGGAACGACACACTTTGACATATTGCCCGGTGGTCCCAGTGGAGGGATGACCACTTCCATCTTGGAAAAAGCTGTGTACCAAGTGTTCTTTAATGCTCCCATGTTTAAAATATTAGTCTTATGTGGTGCTTGTGAGGTGTGGGAATCTTGGAAGTAAATTAAGGGCAGCCCCAAGTGATTCATCACTGCCACTGCAAGAGTGAAGCCCAATTGTGACTCTGAATTAAGATGTCCAGGAGTTGCTGGTGATTTGGGGTGCCTAATTTGAGATGTCTGTCGAGATTCTGGTTTTCAGGAAATCCTGAATACCCATCCGTCTGAACATCAGCTGACTCTAAAATATTTCAAGCTGAACACCTTCAGATTGTGACAGCCCAAGCCATAGTCCCTTTTGCAAATCTTGGCTAAACCTACGATTATCTGAGGACCAGTGTGGTGGGACACTGTTGGCACTAGCAGCATTAGCTGGCTTAACTGGGATGGGGAAATCAGACTCTATGATGATAGACCTTCCTTACACCAGCTGAGGAAGTGAATATGTGCCAGGCAGGCCTTCCTTTCTAAAGACAAGGCAGTGGCTACACTCTTTTTGTGAACTTCAGCGCTGTGCAGAAAGACAACACAAGACTTCCTAAACCCAACTTCATCTCTGAATACTGTGGGTTTTACATGTTGCAGACCTTGTGCTGTCTGTCTCTGCTTGGGGATTTCCACCATTGGGAAAGCATTTTGCCTCCATGAGGCCCAGTGCCTCCTCGACATCTTGATTGGGATCCCAATTCCACCCCTTGTGACAGGCCATTTCTTTGTAGGGCTGGAGCGTTGTGCCTTATATAGGAAAAACAAAGTGTTCTTGTGTCTAAATAAGCAGAGAGAAATTCTGCTCTCTGTTACCCAGATTTCTATTTATCTTTCTTCAGCAACAGAATTTGAACAAGCCTTTTAACAAATGCAAGATATTTAAAATGAATAGTGTCTTTGCTTAAAGCAGCCTACCCTTGTCTCTGCTTTGAACACAGAAGCTTGACATATGCACCAGTCTGGGCCGACACAACAGCCCCCCTTCAACTCCACACACCTTAAGAATCAAAGGGAAAAGTTAGACTTATAAACGAATAGACTTATATCCTTGTTTATTTTGCTTCTGTTGCAGATTAAACATGGCCTTATATGTCATTTTTGTGTGATATCTTTAAAATTGTATGGACAATCTTTGTACAGTCAGCCCTTTTAAAGTTAAAGCTTTATCAGACATTTGCAAATAAAAAGCGTGATATTATATACAAAGAGTGGGAAAATATGATAATTAAAAAATAGCAGCAGGAGAAAGAGGCGAGTGGGGTGAGTCTGTGTGTGTGTGTGAGCGAGCATGTTTATGTGTGTAAAATAACTGCAAGGGAGGAATAATAGCCTGAATTTGTGAGTAAAGTGTACATTTCTATTGCAATAAGAGAGTATTGTATAAAATTAGTATGGATGTTGGAAAACATACCGGTATACATATATATGTTTGTGGGTATATGAAAGTATATATAGGGAATATACATTACTATTTTGTGGTATAAAATATCCCAGAACAAGGAGGAATATAAGCTTTATACTGCACCGCACTATGATGTGTTCTGTGTATGCCCTGTATTTAAACAGAAAATGGGCCAAGTGCCACACTTACCAAGGCTGGGTCCAGGTGAACACGGATATGCAGTATGTGGTGCCACAGACCCATCTGCATTGCCACACACCATGCTGCTACCTTTCAGCATTGGGGGTGGGGAGGAGTTGACCGCAGGACATCCCAGGGTCAAAAAACCCATGCCTTAAAAAAGCAGGGCAGGGCATGTGGCGGCAGTGTACACCACCCAAAACTGTCGACCAGGCTCCCTGCTGCAGGAGCACTGTGGCTGCAGCTCTCTGAGGCCCACAGGACTACAGGTAAGACCACTGGGGCCAGCACAGTTGCTGGCCCCCACCTCTGCTACCCCAACTGGGGTAACCTGCTGCATGCCAGAGGGTGCGGGGCATGGGCATTCCCTCTGGCCAAGTCCCCGGGGAAACAAACTTCCATGCTGGTGTGGATGCAGTCCAGGAGGTCAGTTGTATACAACCAAAGGGGAGCTGTTTAGATCTCAGTACAAACGGCCCACTGACTAGCTTTCCTGTAGCTTAAAGCACCAAAGATGAAATCTTGATTCTGCTGATACCCGTGGAAAAATTCCAGTTAATTTTAGTGGTTCCATGTTTTCATCTTAGGAATTTAGGCTCAGATACCTCTACTTTATCAAGGACCAGAAATGAGT